AGCACTGGTAATATTCGTTAGTTAGTTTATAGGAATCTGAATTGTTTGATCACGTATTGATGTCAGCGATCCGTGATCAAATTTGAAACAAATCAAATCCCTACGGACTAACTCATGGGAATTAATTTGATGCTAGCTAGTGACTGATTAAAGGACGAAAGGATGAAATCCTGTAACCAATCAATCGAATCCCTACAAACCAGTACTTGAATATCAATGAGATGCTCACTGGCGACTGGCCCTATTCAGGTAAGTAGTTACCTGGGTTCTAGTAGGAAGTCGTGACCAATAGGATGCAGCAGTTCGGGTGTGAGGACAAATACTCGCCAAAGACATTGGCTAGTCGTCACCATATGTCATGAATTGGTAGAAGTTAGAATTCATATGCTGTTTATTGGATCAGGTCCCAGTGGCTTAAGGGTCTACGGGCTCACTAGCCTTGTGACCAGAAAGTTCTAGGTTCGAGTCCTGGTGGTGGGTGCGTACTGATGAAGGGCTAGTCCCAAACTAGGACAAAACAGCTGTCCAGTACTCCTAGGTGGTTTTCCACTGGTTCTCTAACCAATGTCAGTTCATGATAGAATCCTGGGAAAGGTGTGAGTTTTCATATCCCATAGTCATAAGCCAGTTGAGTTCAGCATGTAACTCTCTGAAGGTAATAGAAGTTCATATTGTTTCAGTTGCAATGATAACTAGTATTATATTTATTCAACATGAATACAGTGAATCTCTGTCATGTAAACATAAAGTGATTTGAGTGAGTACTGAAAACATTTCATCCACTTGAATTATATAGAATATATCTTTTGTATATAAGTGCAAACTAACAACAAAATACTTAATCATATCAATCATGTCAATCGTAGTCTGTCTGTCTATTCTTAGTCAATCTACTAGTGAATAGGGATAATTGACTCATTTATTATTTTTTTTTTGTTATTTATGATGCAAATAGGAGGAAATGATATCTGAATAGTTTTTTTTTTAACTAAAACAAGTGTGTTTTTATTTTTTCCTTCTACATATCAACTAAAGCCTAGATAAAACAGACTGATTTTATCCCAGCATTATGTATATATTCATTCAGAGGTAGATTTAACAATAGTTCCTATCAAACAATGAGACAATAACCTAGGAAATTAGTGAAAACTATAAACATTGCTAGATAGCTATTTCAAAAATATGTTCAAGTGTATAATAAAAACAAACGTTTTTCTGCAAACTAAGAACTAGTCATACAAAAATGCGTCTATCAGTCTATGAGATGTTGATGATGTTATAGTCATAATTATTTAGTTATTATTCTCTTGGGTTACGAGTGGAACGTAGTGATGGCTTCAACAACACATCTCCACTTTGTTCTGTTTTCTGTCGTCCTCTTCAGATGGGTCCATGGTTGCCCATAATCTCTCATCTCCTCCTTCCCACACGATCTCCTCCATGTCGCCCTCGCACCGGCAACCCATTCGTTGCTTCCCATTTGGATTCCAATCGAGCAATGGCGTGGCCTGCGATGCCGGTCGATGGCCTCCTCATCATATCCCCAAACCATCTCCATTTTCTCCTATATATTTTTTGAGCGACCGGTTCTTGGTTGGTTTGTTCCCACAGTTTCCTGTTACTAATCCTTTCTGGTCATTTGATCTTCATTATGGAGCCAGCCAGTGAAGGTGGCAGCTGTTGATCAGAGTCTGCAACCTATTAGAAATCCTTTTTTCATTACACGTAGTGCGAGTTTCTGACCCGTATAGAAGGACCGACATGACATTGGTGTTTTGAATATCCGAATCTTGTTGTTTATACTGACAGAGTGAAGAAAATTCCTGAACTAGTTTTAGGTTGATGAAGGCGAATCTTGCCTTTCTGATTCTGACTGGTGGTTGGCTTTGACATCTTGGTCCGTGCAGTGCGCCTGTGGTTGGTTGATACAGTGCTTCCTTGATAAATGAAAGGGGGTAACCTCTGTCAAATCTCTCTCTCGTTGACGGTGATTGGTACTGGTTGTTGTTGTTGTTGTTTCTGTTCGTTGGTTATCTTTATCACCTACGTCTTCTCCATGTTCACCTGTAGTCTTGTCTTCGCTGCCAGCTTCTGCAGTCAGTTTGTTAGTTTTTGCCTGTAAGTCTCCTAGTTTGTGTGTGTCATCTGCAAAATCCAGATCTTCTAGAGTCTTCTTATCGGTGGTCCGGCGTATTCCTGCCTCCTCCCTCCCCGTGCACAGTCTGACACACAATCCAGTCCACCACAAGTAAGAATATCATCTGTGATAATAGGTAGACACAGCCTTGTCTTACTCCTGTATTCACTTCGAACGCCTCGCTGAGTTTTCTCTTGTAGATCACCTGACATGTGGCATTGTCATATACAATAATCTAGTTGGTGCTAAATAATTAGCACTATATCAGGGATTCAAATTATTTCTATTTAACTGTAATGTTAAGCTCCGATTTGACATTAGTGTTCAAGATCCAGGTCTGCCTATGTCTATATGGCTCTGAGACCTTACGCTTCACAAAAAGCATTGTCTACAGGCTACTGCAGACTTTTATCCACATATGCCTTCACTGATTCTATACTGAAGATCAATCAGATGGCCGGCCAGATAGGATAAACAACAAGGAACTCTGGGAACAAAACAACCAAAAACCTGTCACTCAACAAATATACAGAAAGAAATGGACATAAATCAGATACACGCTGAAGGGATTATTCAGTGATATCACCTGCCAGGCTTTAGAGTACAAATAGAACGGGAAACGACGAGTTAGGGTGTATATCAGAGGTTGACACAGAAGAGATCTAGTAACGTGGGAATAAGAGCTAATGGATGATCGGGGAAATGGTTTAAAATGGACTGGGGAGAGACAGTGAGATGGTGATGTGATTCTGAAGCTATTTCTTTCACACGGAACTCAAGGGAATAGTAATAATAACAATATTATAAACAATAAAAAGGGAAAAACAACTAACGTTGACTTGTATGACAAACCAGTATATTCAAATATTGTATTTCTTTCAGTTATTCAGTCACCATTTTAGAATTCATGACTCTGCTTTCGCAAATTATAAATGCTGACGGTTATCTGCACAATACACCGGAGTATTTTTCTAAAACAACTGTTTTAAGCAGGTAGGTGATTCTGGTGAATGGTGACTGCCAGTGAGATCCAGGATGTACATTTTGTCCTATTTGGAACGCATCATCTAGATGTACTTGTAATCCCCAATGACATAGTTCAAAAGTGTTTCGTTTATCAAATGCAATGGGCTTAACATTGTCGGCCTCTTGAATCATGGGCTTTTATTCCACGTATTACCTTTGTCAAGCATCAAATCTTTTGTTTTTCTCATTTTTCATCTCTAACCACAAGTTTAACTCACCTGTACCTCAATGAAGGGGGTGTAAATTACTTCAGAAGTATTCTACTCTTATTTACGTTTTCAAAAGTGACTAGCGTCGTATACATACATTTAAACTGATTTTTCCATAAGTTCACTTTTCTTTCTTTTGAAAAATGGCACTATAGTAAATTTTCGAAATTTGATAAAATAAAATATGTAGTGTCTTAAGCTTAGCTTTGATCGAGTATCTTTAAGATCATGCTTTGGAGGAAGAAATCAGGACAACTAGTTTTTTCTCGATAAAACACTTCATCACCAATCTACTTCCTACAGAATCTGATAGGCAACACTTTTAAACTTTAAAACAAATCAGTAGTCTTCGATTGGATACTAGTAACTAGTGTGATGTGTTTAGTCCTTTCCTTGGTACAGACTGAATTTTCTGTCAGTCAGGTTTGCAATGTGGCCACCACTCTAGGTAGCTCCAACCATCTAATATCACCAAATCAATGTGCACCGTGATGACGAACTACGTAGAATGGTAGCCACAACCTGACTGACAGAATTCAGTCTGCACCAGAGAAAGGAATAGACACATCATACCAGTTACTGACTAGTGTCCAATCAAAGTATCCACTACAGTACTACAGGAGATCAATCGCCAGCCCGAATAGCTCAGCGGTAACATCTCTGGCTGCAGCACTGGTTGATGCGGGTTCGAATCTCAGAAGGGATATGAGTTCCTTCAGGGTTGCAGATACGCCTTTTTGACTAGTGAGTGCCAACTAGCACGAAACCTAAGTGCAGCCAAGGCTTTCGGATGATTGCCTCCAACCATCTAAATCAGTAGTTTGTTATTGTACGCCAATATACATATTCGTCTTTATACCTTCCTATTTATCATAATTTGTTACGATGAATGACTTATTTCTAAGCTATGTATTTATCACGATGTTCTCATGATTTAAACACCGTTTATGATCAGAAGATTACTCCAGTGACTAATCAGAATTGAAAAGGAGATACTAAAGTGTGCTGATCAAGAATAGCTTTGTTTGTGAACGGTAACCTCAGCACCATTCTCCCCTCTAATCTTAAGAAGATCATTTTGTCTACAAAATACATGTTGTAAACTTTAGGCTGTATTTTAAGGTAGTAGTGTGCTTTATATTTTACTTCAAAGGTTTAAAGTACTGGGAAGTAATCTTACTATCAAAACAAGTTACATTTCATGTGCTAAAACTGATTACTTAGGTGATTTAATGGAGTAATTCGCCATATTTTCAAATGACATATTCTTATTGTGTTTAAAGTACGATTTTCAAGGCTCAGTATAGCTTGCCTAATATCCTACTCTAACTTCTTATTTTCTGATTAACAAGTTTGTTGGAAGGGTTAACACACGTGGTCGCTCCATAGCCTGCTCTTAGCGATAACTGAACACAATTTATTAAAAGGAGCTTTTGTCGAAATAAGTTCTTGAGGACGATATAGTTCAGCTACTACGACAAGAAATTACATGGTCACTTCAAGAGAAATGTTAGGAACAATTTTTTTCAAAAAATACTTCAGACTTTCAATTCTGATTTCTTTTCGTTCAATGATTTTACATTTTACACGAAATTCTACATGATTCAAAAGAAATGAATGTAAATATTGTCAGTATGAAAGCACAAATGCCTCCTTTCTGAGGTCATGTCATCTCCACCATGCTTCTATCACCTCCTTCCACGAAACCCAGTGAAGTTCTAATATTTATTCATTGTGAATCTCAAAACTACTTCCCTTCTATAACTTGTTGCCGTAGCTCCCACCCTTTACAGCATCGTCGCCTTTTAATTTTTATTTTGTTTCATCTGTTCAGACAACCACATTAAACCGTCATTCAATCCATCACCGTTTATTGCATTCGATGGGACAATTCTCCAAGACTTGCTTCTTAAATTTTCAAGACCAAGAAATTTGATAACTTCTGTAGTTGTTAAAGCGTTAGGTAAATCCATTTTATTGGCAAAAATTAAGATTGGAACTGATTTGTTACAGATATCTGGATGTTTTAAAAGTTGTTGAAATTCATCTGCTACAATAATAAGTCTTAATTCATCTGAACTATCAATTACATAAATGATTGCTTCACATTCTTTGTAAAAATTTTCCCATAAATTTCTGTAGACACCGCTACCTGACATATCGAAACAAACAAGTATCATTTGGTTGACTTTGAGCTTTTCAACATTATATCCGATAGTTGGGACAACGATTGACTTTTGTGCATTAACTGGTTGTAATTTATTTAAGATGGTTGATTTTCCGCTATTATCTAGTCCAATCACTAAGACTTTAACTTCTTTCTTTAAAAATCCAAAAATCTTCCAAATGAAATCTAAGAATCCCATGTTTTGAAATTATTCTCCTCAACAGGTGTGGAACAGATTACATCTGAATCCTTTATATCACACTGGGCAAACGACAAATACTCAGGGTTGTCCTCGATGGCGATTAGTTTGATGGCAGCCTTCTGTAACAAATACAATAAATAAGGTTTAGAAATAGGATACAATCATCTAAGGACAATATATTTAGCTCAACAAATAGCTGACATAGGGTCAGGTTGGAAAAGAGCTAGCGGTGGTCAAACAAAAACATGGGAACAGTCAATGAAATCTACAACAGTTAGTTTAAGCCGCGTAGGAAGGTGTAGACTGCCGGGGTGGGGTCGTAGGGACGGTAAAAACCAATGGTTGGAAACCATTGGTGACATGGCTCAAAATCGTCCTCAATGGCGCAGATGCATCCACCCCTTGTGACTGATGATTTCCAATGAAACTATATTGTTCTTCGTTACAACTATTATTTTGTCTCACACCTCTGTTTACTGTCCCTATTATGTATTTCTTCTATTTTCTTCTCTTGCTTTGTGTGATACATGGAGTGTGGTGACTTGAACTGCCGTACATCGGTGCAAAGTTCTATGTTGAAAACAGACAGACAGACAAATAAAGTGGGTGTTTTTTAACTTGAGCTTTGAATTACGATTACCAGTCATAAAGTAAATACGGATGCTTCAGAAACCCTTGAGAACTTCACTGACTTATTCAAAACAAATCTGAATATATGTTATTATTTGTCAGAGTGATTCAGAATATAAGATGGGGAAAATTTACCTTATTTAGATCGACCAGCTGTATTATCTAAACATCACTGTTGCTTGCTATTTTACCATACTTACTTAAACAATCAAACAAGTGTGCGCAGTCATAAAGCAGGATAGAGTGAATTCCTGCATAAGCTATACAACCTTTGGTGGATATCCTAGTATCAACATCGGGTAGACAACACATGAGCCCTCTCTGTCTGCAGTAGGACATTTTGGGAATAGGGTAGTTATTAGCCAATGCAAGCATTTGGAAAAGCAAAGTGGTTTACACAATAATTCGCATCACTCACTATCTACAAACTAGAAACCAGACCAATTCTGTGCCATTATCTCATAGGCTGTACTCATTCCATGCATATAAACGTTTTTCCCAGGATTTTTAGGAGACCCTGTACATCTTCAGGGTCTTCACCTGTGAAAACTATAATATCTGAATACCTTAAATAAACGAGATATTGACTCGGTACTACATCAACTCTGAAGGTACGCAAGTTGACAAGAACTGCACCCATCAGTAGATCTGAATAAAAGCAGGGATACTAGACATCCCCTAGTCGAATGTTAATTCTCCATATGTTCTTAGATGAAAAGATGAGTTTGAGTATAGTGCCTTGATCAGAATAACATAATTCGTAGAAATCTCCTTTAGAGACGAATATTGCCACAATACTTCTAAATCAAAGTGATTAGATGCTTCCTTCAAGTCAAGAGACTTAGAAAGTTTTGGCCGCCAGCAAGTTTGCATTTGTTAAAAAACCGGTCAAACTTAAGTTGCAATTGACACACCCTCTCCTGAAAACGGCCTGATTCTACAGGACTGCTTTTACTGATTTCACCCTAGTCCGTGTAACACAAAGGATACTGGATACCATGTTAGTCAAGTTTACTATCATGTGACTACCATGAAAAATTTTGTTTCTTTTCTTGTAGAGTGGAAACACCAGCAATCGGCATAACTTGTACTCTCATACACTACCTAGTACCTCAGTTATTGTAACAAATAATACATCATCACCACCATTAAAAGCCTTTGCATTCAGACAATATGATCTTTCTGTTCCACATAATTTATATTAAGAGAAGTTCTAGCAGTGTCCATTAAGACTGAAGCATAGGTATTTATCCTATTCAGCCTGAGGTTAGACGATAACCAACTGTAGGGACTCTATCAACACCGAGACATTCCAGCCATTTCTCCTAATACCTTATCTTTACGGTAAAACAATTTATTCACCATAGTTCTTAAGGATCTGCTTCCTAAAATATCTTGAACATTTGAAGGGGTGCCACTTACTGCTAACCAGTCTCAGCTCTTGACATCTTCTGTAACTTGTGGCGGTTACAGAGTTTCTGGCGACTTTTCGATGAGAAGCTTTTTCTCTTTGTGATGCTTGGAACTCACTGCCGTTATCAGTCTGTGTCGGTAAAAGAATACCTACAGTCTACTTCACATCATGGTAATTAAATGTTTTGTACTATTAATGAATTTATTATTCGTGAAGTAAATGCGTAGAATTAGTTTACGCGATGTAAAATTAACCCTTTAGTTGTTGGTAAATACATTTTTATTTAATGTTAGCGGTGTTTGTAAAGTCAATGAATATATGCTGCTCTTCCTAACTTTTAACATGAACAACAGTGATGGTCCATCATTTTCAGGAGAAAATGTATTCCAGGCAAGTATCCTAGCATTCAAGGAAACTGGAGGTTTCAAACGCCAATTTATTTGTTCAGTGTGTGTCTAGTGACAGCATATCTTTTTGTTTTTATTCATCGGGTCTTGCACATTCTAAGTGCACTGTGTAGAGTGCAATTTTGGCACTGACTTCGATTAGACTGGAGAAACACATTCAGCATTCTCAGCTCATACAACAACACACAATCATACAGTGTGGTAGGATATACCTACAGTTCTATAATTAGGTGGAGTGAGAAGTCGATAACTCAATGTTTGTTGATCAAAGTTTAAATAAACACTTGCAAGCAACAACAACGCCAAATATGTGGAAATATGAAAAACATTTTAACTATTAAAATCAAACGATAAGAAGTGACAGAAGTATATGAACAAAATCTGAAAGTTGTAAGACCACCTTGATATGGTTTTGACAATACTGTATCAATATGTTTTATCAAATAAAAGCATTCAATGGTGGAACTCTGGGAAGACTTTAAACAGTTTTCTGAAAGATTACTAAGCCGTTAGGAAAACTAGTTAGGTGACAAGACAGAAGTAAGAGGCTATGTTTAAGTGTTCAAAAGATATAACGTCCTTTCTCCAGTATTTAAGATGAAACATTTCAATAGGTCATGCACCCATCATATGCATGGTCCTAAAGGAAATGACCTGCTGTAAGACCAAATACTTATCCGGATGGTCTCATTTCCCAGCTGGTAAAACAGTCAAACGCACTACAAAAACTTTGGTTCAAAAGATGTTGAGCTTATATTAGTAGATGGGAAGTATTCTACCGATGTGGGGACACTTTCTGCAGTTTCCCAACGTTGTCGAAAATTGACATAAATCTGGCATTACATTTAACTTTTATATGTGAGAACACTACACACTTAATATCATAGTACTCTTTAAAGCTTTATGGTTAAGGCTAATTTGAAAATTTTGGAGTAATACGTATATGCATGAAACTTCAGACAATACTAAAAGTGTCTACAGTACGCCGGAAGTCAATACTGGCTGGGTTTTAACGAGACAAAGCGAGTGGCAACTGTGGTGAAAATAACTAATCCTGACTCCAGGTTTAATAGATACTTTTAACACTTGATAAATCAACATGTGGTGGGGTTAGTGTGTGTGACACGAAATTTAAGAGTACAACACATATTCTGATTTAGCAAACAGTAACCCAAATCAATGAATGACTTAAAGCGTTAAACCATAAACAGATTATGTTAACAGGGCTTTAAAGCAATTAGTCTGTACTCCAGGTAATAATTGTGATTAAAAGTCAGTTTTGAGTTATTATCACCGTCATGAGGAGACTTGAAAAAGAAGAATTTCGCGCTGATGGATACTTTCAATTGCCTCTCTAGTTTTACTACCTCAGTTTTATCTCATATTAACTGGGGAAATGGTCCACTATAGTATTTCAAGAAACAGTGATTGTTGATGAAGTGACAATACCAGTTTCATACAATGAGTTTATTTTAACAGAATACCTAACATTACAATAATTCTGAAGTAATGCTGGCTAATTCTGCACTAATACTTTTCTATAGGGAATATGTTCTCAAATGGTCCTAAAGAGACTTGTATTTGTGGGCCATATAGAACTCTTTACCTTTTTCTCACGATTTTCAGGAGTTAAGAGCCTGCTGAGTTTGTTTTTGAGTATAACTTTTAACGCATCAGCTAAATGTTTTCCAGCAATTATCACATAAGTTGTGTTGAGTGTTTTTTTAAGCACTACACACATTACCTCATTACATACTACTGGTGTATTTTAGTCACACGAAATATTCACTTACCATTGGACCTTCTTATCGACTCAGTTCAGAATTATTTGAACATTATTGCAAGCTTAGGTACATCTATATTGTTAATATTTTTCAACCCATTTGGACAGAAATGGGCAACGAATGGTTAAATAACGGTTAAAATTTGCAGATTTAAGGGAATTAGTGAAAATGGGGAGATAATTATTCTCTCATTTTCTTGCCATGGGCATGCCTTTTATTAAACCGCATTTTACCCTTTTAGTCCAACTGGGAGGTGTAGACAAATTTTCGACAGCTTACTAACTTAATTAATTAATTCACTGAATATATCCACATAGCTATTAAGTCAAATAATATACTACGTATTACAGAAGAGATGCGAAATAATTTTGGAATTTTGATAGAGAAAGAAAGACCAGGTTTGCAGTATAAAATGATATTCTACTTCACAGGTTCTAATCAGCTGCGAACTACCTGAAATTACAATGGTTACAAATGCATACAGAAAGAGAATGTGGTCAATCTCTCACTCCCTTGGTAACCATATCACTTTCATTACACTGATTAGTCATATACACCAGTGAGCTCTACTCACTAAGCAAGTTGTCAAATTGATGAACCTTGACCTTCTTGAGCTGCCATGTTGACACTGTTTATTAGATTTCTCTGTTTTCTGTCTTATCTCACACCCTTTTTTCTTTTTTCATAGTTTGATAGTATATAAATTGACGGTGACTTAGATTATAATACTTATATTCCAGATGCGTTCACCTTATAATGTCTTCTCTATTACCTTTCAAACAATGAAGTATGAAATGTTATTATTTATAACCATTGTAATTTCAGCTAGTTTGCAGCTGATGAGAACCTTTGAAATAGAATGATATCATTTTATACTGCAAATCTGGTCTCTCTTTCTCTATCAAAATTTATCAAGGGAACCAAATGTGTGAAATTTTGGAATTGATAGATTTTAATCCTGTTCTACAACCTACAGTTGTTCTGTAAACATGAACTTTCATTTATGAAGGAATTCAATAAAGCCCATTTCTGTTTAAAAAGAAATGGGTTTTACTCCCAAATCGACAAAAATGGGGAAAATCGTGTCTAAAATGGGGACAAAATGGGGACATTGCATTGAGGAAAAATGGGGACAAAATGGGGAAATAGTAAGATTTTCCCCATTTTCCCCATTCTCCCCATTTTGTCCCCATTTTCCCCATTTTGTCCCCATTTTGTAAAGTCCAGTTGTCCATCAGCTGAATTCCATCCATTTAGGAACCATCGTCTAAATTTGCTGTTTTATTGTGTAAATGAATACTAATATACAGACCACACTCATATCACTAAATCAATGCTCTATGTGCACTCCTCACCCCAAATTTTAGATATTTGAATCTGTGTATCAACCAGAACAGTTACTTATAGCGACCAGGATCAATATTCAATATACCAATGTCCAATATCCAATATCGTTATTACGAGCTAGTGTAAACCGATTTGATTTCTTTGTGCTCGCTTCTTGATTGTAAGGTATAGTTTCCTGATCTTTGGTAAACTCCTACATACTTCATCTCGTCAAGGTGGTGCTGGTATTGATTAAATTTCGTTTGTAGTTTGTAGTGTATTGGTTCTGTGAATGGAATTGATTCTTCCTCCCGTTAGTCGCCCTATTTGGCGGAAAAGAGAGATAATAATGATAACAAGAGTGGGCAGTAGGGAGAGGACGAGTTTAGGTGCATACCTATTATTAGTGTGTGAGTCATTTGGACATAATCTTTGTGTCACTGCGTGGTTGTTCACTCTCACTTAAAGCTCTACACGGAAGTTGCAGAAGCCGCATGTGCTGGCAAAGAGTTCCAGGGTCGAAAACTGCCTCCGAAAATAAGCAAAGAGCACTAGGCTCTCTGCTGTCTGGTCCTCTATCATTCGTGGGTTGCCATGAGGAAGCCCGTATGTATTTGTTGACAGAGAACCTTTTTAGGGTGATTTTGCGAATTTGTGATCTTGCAGGCAGTGTTTAAGTTCCTCAAAAGTCGACGATAGCTAAGTGTATAAAGATATGACTTCTTCAACTGCTCATCAAATGGCTTATTTTGGATACTCATCACACTTTTGTTGTTAGTCCTTGGTTTCCTTTCAAAATGTTTGAGTATATTCTAAGCAGCGGGTCAGAACAATGTTGTGCACTCCAAGGTGCGGTCATACAAGTGTTTTGTACGGTCTTAGAAAAAGCTCAGGGTTGAGCGCACCCAGCTGTCCATGCGGAGGGTGTGTAACCGTATGCGCCTTTGTTACATTACCCGCGTAACTCATGCTTATGTTCACTTTTCCCCTAAGAACTAGGCCTAAGTCACCCTATGACTGTGTGCAGAATATGGGAATAAACAGCATTTGCAGCCTGCAGTTGAGTAGTTGCACAATTTTGCATTTTTTCAGTTTTCAAGTCGTACCTCTGACCATTGTCCGGTCTTCCAAAATTTTTAGGTCTGCCTTCCGCTTATCTGGGCCCTTCGAACATTTTTATCGCTCTCCAAATTCTTACGTTGTCAACATGAGGGAGAGCCAGGTATTGTGTAGGGATGGTAGGTCATTGAAATATTAAGGGCTTTAGGATAGAACCATGTAATGCTCCCAAACTGAACTGTACCAGGATGATCGGAAACGATTGGCCTTAGTACAGGGTTCCCTTTCATCTACATAATCCTCCATCTATGATGAAATCGCCGCCAACATCCACCTGACTTATTTCTCTAAGGAGGTCACTCGGAAGTATTCCAAGTGCCCTCACCGCGTTGAGGAAGTAGACATGGACTGGAGCATTAGTGTAACAAAATCCAAAATCGGTGTACTGTTTTCGTCAGGTCGTCATCTTGTTTGATTCAGTCGGAACACCTTAGAGGACATAGCAGGAGAGTTCAAAAGCCAAGAAGAATTCATATTGCTGTTGAGTATTGGTTCTCACACCGAGTCATCAACTCTTGGAACCGACTTCCAGAAGAAGTATTGTCTGCAACCTCAGCTGATTCGTTCAAGAAGGGTTTGGACAACCACAGAAATTTACTAGAAAAGGATTACAGGCTCCAAGCCTTCTATCCTCAAGCAATAAATCTGAAATCTTGTAATGATGCTTATCAATAAAGCACTATTTTTGTGAAAGATATGCTGCGTATTTTTGTTTCTACTAATTTTAAGTCAGTGAAATTATATACTGGAATTGGTTTATTACGTTTATACCTTTGTGGTTTCTGGATTTTTTTTACTTGTAACAACTACACTACATATGTCTGGAAGGTTTACTCAAATACTCGGTCGTTATGGTTTGGGAAGTAAATTCAATCAGGCTCTGAAAATCAGTTTTATCCTGTGGAAGCTGTCTGCAGAGATTGCTCTCTGTTTTTATTTGGAGGGATATATGAATGGTACTTCAGACAAACCACATGAAGTCTCCACTGCTACGGTAATCTGGCAACCACCTCGACCAGGAGAAACACCTACGAGACATCGGCTGGTTTTCGCGGAGTTTCCTTTATGGACCACTATGGCTACATGTTTATTACCATTATTAAAAAAATTATTATTAGCAGCGTGTAGTCAGATCGTCACAACGTGATGACCAATCATTCTAAGCCGATCAGCCTACTCTGAACCCATGTTGTGCTTCGTGAGGTATGTTAGTCCTGTCTACTTGATCGTGCCTGTAAAACTGACATGCATTCTCATGTAAGTTTATATGTTTATATGAAAATATACATTAATGTTAGGTTTTGCCCGATGTGGTCATCAACTAGACATTCTAGTATTTTTATACCACTATCGGTCTGTAATTCGTGGTAGTTTGCCGACGCCCGCTCCCGAAGGCAGGAGGAGGAGGAATGGCTCCCTTCTCCTCCCACGACGGTTTCCCTGAATCCATAGTGTTGGAATAGGCCACGCAGAGGCCTTCCTGAGAGCTTCGGAGCACTATTTTAGATTAAAAAGCTGAATGCTGTCAGTAACTGTACTTTCCAGAGGGAAATTTACGCAACCTCCTGGTATCATTACGAGGTTTATTCGGAGTTCACCGATTCGGTTTTCTGTTGGTAAGTTAACGGTGCGGTTCGCATAGACTGTTATGGCATTACCTACGATGCCAATCAGCCGTCTGTCAAAGGCCAAAATAGTGAGGCAATGACCACTTGCACCTCGCAAGGTGCATGTCCCGTGGTTGGAAAGTATCCTTTCCAACATGAATCGGTACAGACTTTGGGGATTTTCCATGTCTGCAAAGGTTTTCCCGAAATGATCTCACGTCAGTTCAGGCTTATGCGTTGCACAGGGCATGCCTCATGGTTAGTTCATATCCTATTAAATATAGTAGTTTGCAGAAGTCCACAAGAAGAGGCATTTAAGGCATGCATATACTTCCTGTGATCGGAGCGGTACTTTGCGGGATGTCTTACAATTGTAAAACGCTCAAATCCCACACGAAATGAAATTAATGTAATAATAAAAGTAATAATAATAATTATTTTCTGTAACAAAAACCAGCCATTTTTACAGGCATGAACATATGTACACATATTAAAACTTATAGAATATATAATATAATTTGTTAATTTAGAAATAAGTTGAATACTGGTAAATGTGAGAGAAAAATTTAAAATGAAGTGTACAAATAGGAAAATAGGTATAGCGTTAAATCTAAACTGTGACTGAAAAAAATACATGTCAGTTTCACGCGGGAATCATAAATCATTGCGTTAGTTGAGGAGGGTAAGTAGCATTTTTGTACAGGTGCTGACGTTATACATAAGAGACGCAGAATAAACAATAATTATCAGCAAATGATTCATAAAGTGTTTCAAAGTCTATAAAAATTCAAATTCACCCGTGAGTACACCATATTTTTGACATTTCCAGTTGTTTATGTGACCGACTTTGAACTTGTCAGCAGATTATACAATATAGGTGGTCCCGTTATTTACCAGATGAGCTAGCAATATCACGAATAAATGGAGAATAGCAGCGCTGTATCAGTACCTTCGTTGAAGGCAGTACCTTTAAAAAGAGAAGAAGACAGAGGAAAACCGGCAGAGAGGTGCTTAAGTATATAAAAGGTGTTAATAATTCAAAATATATAACAGACATGGGTTTCATCATTATTTTTATTGTTATTTTTCAAGAAATATTATTTTTCCGATATTCTACAGTCTTTCCTGCGAACAATTAGTTTAAGTGAAAGACAGGTGATAATTTCACCTACTTACGCTCCTGTATACGCGAGCGCAATTCAAAGGCTTTGTTACTTTTTCGCGTGTTATTTCTCAATTCTTTTTTTAGTCCACAGGCGACTTTTTAATAGGTCTCTCGACGATAGTATTAAATATTTAGTTCTATTCTTACATAGAATATAAATTTTACGGTTAAAATTATCCGTTATAGATAGTGTCCATCTAAGTGCTACTGTTATAGCATCTTCGCATTTAGAGTATTTTTATAGGGTATCTTAATATCCTATCTCAATATTTTTATTCGTCTAAACTGTTAATTCCATACAGAACTAGACAGTTTAAATCCCCAACACTCTAAAACGGACCTTACAGACACATTGCTCATTCTCTTATAATTAAGAATTTTAACTTAGTACTAAATGCCAATGGTCCAAACTAAGCGTCTAACTCCACTGTCTGCTTCACATCCCAGTAAAAAAATCAAACCAAACAGAATAAGTAGCCCTGCAGGAAGTGAGAGCACTACATCTGTTGATTTAACAACTACATATACGTCTGCTGCGGTAGACACGTCAAGTCCGGACATTAAACTCCCCTCACTTGCTTGCGTAGTAAACAACATCATGGATGGTATACACAGTGATACTACATGTAATGATCTAGGCCTCGTAGACACCTGCAAAGCGTCTTGCGATAAGAATCACACAGCAAACATTCTTACTCCCATCACTAATCCAGTTTTTTGTTCTACACTTAGTTGTGAAGATAAATTCGAAGAACTATTTTCTATAATTAGGGGGCTTGAAGTTAAGATGTCAAAACTGGCACTGCCTAGTGAAACTGGCAGTAGTAGTACTTCACCTAGAAAGTTACCACAAACTGCAAACCTTATAAACTACGTTGCAACTGAAGTATATCAACGTGTAGTGCGCGAGAAGAACATAATTGTGTATAATATACCGGATAATGCACAGATCAACAAGGTCAAAAACACTCTTTTAAATGCATGCTCTATGAATAACGTCCCATGCAGCTGCCATCGACTAAAAAAGTCTCAGAAGAACAAATCTTGCCCACTTGTGTTGAAATTTGACTCGTCCTCCAATGCTGACATCTTTTACAGTAGGCAAACCCTACTAAAAAATACGCGTTACCACACGATCAAGTTAGCTCGTGACAAA